ATTTAAAATAAAAGTTATTCTCCTTTAAATATATATTGTTGACAACTAGTGATTGAAGGTAGACTGTGTTTACGTCCTAATCAGAGCTGCTCCCATATTGTGTATTTAATTCAAAGCTGCTTCATATTTTACCATTTAACCTGTTTCTTTCCTTCTTTTCTAATTTCACTGTTTATGAGGTTTAGTAATTTAATACTGCAAATTATTTGTTTACATGCAGAACAACGTAAAAACGCCACTTATTTCTGAAGAACCCAGCAGCCTTCATATCTTTAATGAATTATGAAAAGATCCACCCAACATGAGTCACRAGTGAATGAGAGTGAACCGAAACCTTACAGTTTGACAGACTGTAACCACTGTGATGGTTCTCTTTTCTCTGAGAAACAGATTTAAGAACTTTTCATATAAAGGTTTAGGGAATTTCCCTTGTTTGCTTTAATAATATTAACATTCATTTTAAAAAATCAGCTTAATCCTTCTCGGTTTAAAGACATAAAWACACACTGAATTTGCTTATAACCATATCAGGGTAATTGTTATATATGGTAAATGTTATAGCTCTCTCCCTAATATACCTAATATACATAAAGCTTCAACTTTTACAAACCATTTTTGCACGTAAGGATTTTCTGAAGATTCTGTAGCTTGATCCAGATTCACAGCTGTTTTACAGCAAAGACAGAACATGAATCAAAAATGTTTGTTGTAAATACCAGCATTTCTGCACACTTAATTWWKGGGRTATTATGTATTTTCCATAGTTCAATTCTATACCACAATCAAGTCACTATTTTACCTTCAGTTGTTATGAATATGTTATACCRAAACTAAACTGGACTTTGCATTATGGYCWATCTAAATGCCTTTAGRTTGGCCTCTGTCTCTTTAAGACCCTCCTACCRTTTCCAMCACTCCCACTTCAGTACATCTTCACAAMAATCAGGGGAGTCCGGGGAGGGGTGCTCTGTGGGGCTGCAGCCTGAGCTCCAGGGAGGAGCTATGTACAAATAGGCGGTGCTTTGTACCAGCAAGCATTTAGKCACCTTTGAATGACTACCASAGAAGATTCAAGGATTTATCAAACATGCATGAATGAGTCAAAGCAACACTCTGGGTGTGTTTTTGATGAGGGAACATTCCCTCATCAAAAATCTCAATCATCAAAAACCTTTTTGAGCTTTGTATATCATGTTATAATGTCATTTGACATTTAACATGATATAAAGCTCAAAAACGTGATCCCCCCCCCCAATTAAAAACACTTAAAGTTTGTTCTGCAACTGCAYGAATGGCTTTTGTTAAAGGTTTGACGATGAAAACTTTGCCTTGATGAAAACACATTTACTTTCTTTTTTGTTGCTAATGAATAAAAATTCATTAGTCTGCCACTGACACAATAAATAACCTCATAATTACCACTACTGCTTTTTCCAGCTGAGTATTTTGTCTAACCTGTCAACAATGTTTAATCATAAAAAAACACAGTGACAATACAGCGCGCATCAAGTTGCAGCAAGCTTTGCAGACAAAAAGAACCATGACCCAATTTTTTTTGAATGAATGAATGAAAACGACCAGTCTTGTGCTCCTGCGTGGATCTAAACTGAGGATTTCCTGTTGTTTGAGTTCTAAACTGGTGCCTTGTTGATTAGAACCAGGACAGAGGCTGGCTGTGCCCTGTAGGTCCTGTGAGGTGAGGGCTCCAGTGGAAAACGTCTCACAGCACCAGACGAAAGGGGAGCTACACAAACACAATCAGCTGCAGGACGCACAAACATGTGAACATTAATGTGGCAGAGTGGGCTTTGTTTTTGATTCACAACAAAACACAAAACCTATGTTKTCTCTCTTTAGATGTGATCTCCATTTTTGGAATTATTAATAATTCCTAATTAYTGCACTCAGTCAGCTAAGTATTAGCAATATAAGCTAATAGTAGGTAGGCCACAGTCAAACACTGTAATAAAAAGTTGGTAGTTAAATAGTCCTCTATGTGTGCGAYTGATTAAATGAAATACAAACAACAGTTAAGATGAAAACTTTATTTCTATGAGTTTTATTGTGTTTTATTCAAGAGGCAGCCATATTGCCATTTAATCTCTCAGAATTTTGATTTTTTTTTTCCAGGTCATTTCCGTTGATTATTTTATTCATTTTTTTGTCAACCCGGCATTTATAAAATAAGACTCTTGAGGACAAACAAAACACTATTAAATGCATTGTGGTTTGGCATGGTGATTACAGTGAGCTAGCATACCATCTTGTTGCTTCTATGCTTTAAGAAAATATCCGAATAAAACAAAAGTATGACACAAGTTAAGAAGACAAAAGATTTTTCTAGCTGTTGCCGTTACAGTTTCTGGTTACAAATGCTGTAGAGTAACAAAAATGTATCCAAATACAATCACCAGATGCAATTATGACGGAGAAATGCCACCAAGCAAACGTCCAAACAGCAGCAAAGCTATTCAGGAAGTGTTTGTTTATTCCTGACAGTGGTCCCACGTCTTGCTTGAGCTTGTCACAGGTGATTGGTCAGCACTGAGACCAGATGCAGGCTGAATTTCCTGGTATAAAATTAGTGATGTCTTGACCAGAAGCTGTCTCTATTCTTCATCATATTTCCTGTCAGTGTCAAACAGGACTGCTCACTGAGAAATAAAAGCATCTAGACTTGTATACAAAGCAGATCTGAGCAAAGCACAGTGACTCTGAGACACTGACCACCCTGTCCATCCATTATTATTCTGTTTGAGAGGACCCCCTCTGTGACCTCTAGCCGACCTCTCCCTGCCTTGCAGACGGAACACTTGATGTTGCCTTTACTTATCTGTGGGCACGTCTGAAGAACAGGCCCTACTTCAGCTCTGAGCCATGATTGGAGCATGATTATGATGGCCACTTGACTCATTCAGGTCCTCCAAGGACTAAGATTTAAGGGAATCAGGCATGAAGGCACAGTGGAGGTCGAGCTTCTTATGCAGGTGCTTTTCAGAGTCCACACAGTTTACGTTATCATTTGGAATAGATATAGTGAATATACGTATAACCACTTCTCTTGGCTTCTCTGGTATAAAATGTGCACGAATGCAAACGTCATGTGTAGCACAAACAACAGAGCCTGTGTGGGTTCACTGCAAAGGTTTTTGACGTAGTTTGTGGGCAACAGGCACAGATGTTTGCAAAGGGGCTGTCAGTTTGTATCAGTCAAGGAGCGGTTTGATAAAACCATGCGGCCCCGGCGACATGTAGCCAAGTTCGACAACAACATCATCCCTTCGCTTTGTTTTTCTGTCGCTAAATGCCTGAGACAAGAACAGAATCCACTGTGGAAACTGATCAGGGGCCAATCTCCATCTATCTACCCCCCGTTGCCCTCCTGCACTGAAGACCTCCACAGAGCTGGCATGGCTTGGCCCCTGGCAGCCTGTTTTTGTTGCTCTGTCCCAACAATTCGAGCCATCTCTAAATCACACACGCCCGCTGTCGCCTGCGCGTCTCGCAAACCTGACCAAAGCGTTTCGACACGAGTAATGGGAGGCTGAGAGAGAGAGAGTTGTAAAGTGGAGACGCCAAAGCTGACCTGATGTAAATCATCATCATCCTGTAAATGAAGTAAGACAATCTTTAAAAAGCCCCAACAAAGGGCTGTTTCTAACRGATTTATTGTGCAGGTCTGTGTCAGGGAACATGAGTAAGGTTTAAAAATACCCCAGCAATGAATCAGTGGTCTCGCTATCTTTACAGGCAGACATRGGTAGTTATTGTGAACCAGGCCAGTCATAAAAAAAAACCCACCAGAATAAAGGTGTTTGCAGATTTGTTAGGTTATTAACTGGGCAACTAAAAGTGGGTCTAACACACACACACACACACACACACACACACACACAC